CAGCGTATTGTAGCGACGTCGTTTGGGACGAGAACATTCTCTGATCCATGCAAGACGCTATTTGAAAGGTCTGCGAATATTGTTTTTTTGAAAAGTGCAGAATGACTAAGCTGTGTATCGCTTATCGTGAAATGAAAAAGAAATTATTCGAATTTATTTGACATGGGAAAGTGTCTTAAACTTCTGCTAGTGTGGGAACTTTAATATTCGAAGTTCTAGGTCATTTTGGTATTTGAAACAAAAGAGCAGACGGTTTATAGCAAATTTAGTTGAAATTTTATTGGAAACCAGTCATGAGGATATCCTCACTATACTATCCTGCAATAGGGTTTACTGAAAAATGGCGCACCACAACTAGCTCTATACTCTTTTTGAGTTTCGTTCCACTCTGCAGTCAGCTGACTCATTTGCTAAAGATTCATCTTATCTGTCTTTGTTCAACTATGCTGAAGTACTGCGAAATGTTTTTTGAGACCTGACATTCTAGAACGGTTATTTTACAAAGTATATGACATTTTTCTTCACCAGTGAATTTCCACATTTAGAAAATTGTGAGCGAACTTTTTTCAGCAAAGAAAAAAATACGACAAAGCACCATCGTCAGAATACTCAGCTACCTATCATATACAATAAAATCTTCATTAAGACGAATTTTATTTAAATTTTTTTGCCTATGGCTCAGGATTACATCAGAGAAATATGGCAAAAGTTCAATCAGCACCGCTGTAGCAATTATCTTCTCTTCTTCTTTCAGATTTGCTTCATACTTCGAGCCACAAGAATCACTTGACAACTGTAGTGTGGCATTTGCTAGCTTGGGTGACGCCGTATATGCGCTGACAGAATCGCCAAAGATGATAAGAATCGACATCGACACTCTTGACAATATTGAAAAGGTTGAATTCATATCGCATTCTACACGATAAAATTTCTTTTCTCTAAAAAGAGAAGTTTTAGGTAGATATTCGAGACCACCTTAAGGTGAGTCTTCACACCTATTCGGCTCATTTTCAATCTGATGCAGATGGGAATCTTTACAATATTGGTAGCATGTTTGGTGCATCGTCGAAATATGTCTTCGCTAAGACAACAAATCCCTCAAAAGGTAGGTAACAGTATGCCACAAAAAGCTAGATTAACAACTGATCCTTTAAGAAGCTGCGAATGGCCATAGTTTTGAAAACACCGAGCTAATTGGTATGGCATCGGCCACAGATTCTTGGGCACCAGCATATTATCATTCATTTGGTATCACTGAGAATTACTTTGTACTATTCGAAAGCCCTGAAAGACTGAACTTGAAGAAGCTAATGTTCAAGTAAGTTAGCGATTCCAAAATTCTCAAAATAATAGGTGAATCGCATCAACCAACAGAACAATACGAATTGCTTGCCGGTTTAGAGATATGTTTGGATTTATTCCATAAGATTACAAATGGGGTCAAGCTAGGCCTGTAACAGCTTCAAGAAAGGGAAGCGGGGAGGGGGTGGTGAGAAGGTGGGAGAATGGGAGAGGAAAATGAAAGAGAGATTAAGAAAGGGGAGATAGGGAAGGAGGGACAGGAGATTTTTCTCGAATATTTAAGATCTAGGCCCAACAAGCGAAATATGTGCTCGCACATGGAAAGGAGTCTTATTAGTTAAACAAAAAAGAGGGCGGGGGAAGGGAGAAAAAAAGCGGGAGAGGGGGAGAAGGGATTTCTGGCAGCATACTCTAGGAAGGCATGTACTATGACCGTACCTTCTAAACGGGAAGGCAGGGCGAGGAGGGAAACCCGGTAGAAATTGATGTTTCTCAGTGATTTGTTCGTGTGCTTTCTATAATCGTAAGCAATTATTCGAAATTTTTACCTAAATGACGTTCGATGAGTTAAGGAGTTTCTTGGCATTATCCTACAACGATTGCATGTACTATGATCCA